AAAAATACATGTAGATAAAGTTTGATATATCGCTAATGATTGATATTCTTCAAGCTTGATTCTGACGAGTTTCTTTCACAAATAAGGTGGTATATATGTTGCTCTCTCCCATATTCTAAATTACATACAAAGATAATAATTGTGGAGACAACACTAATAATGCTAAAAAAAAAAAAAAAAAAAGGGAAAAAGAAGAAAGAAACTTCTTGGAAAAAGAGTTTCAATTTCAAATAAAAAGAAGAAAAATTGAATTCACACTATAACTATATACAAGCTTACAACAGAAAAATACATGTAAATAAAGTGTGATATATCGCTAATGATTGATATTCTTCAAGCTTGATTCTGACGAGTTCCTTTCACAAATAAGATCGTATATATGTTGCTCTGTCCCATATTGTAACAAATAAAAGTCAGGCATGAAAATTACATACAAATATAATAATTGTGGAGACAACACTAATAATGCTAAAAAAAATTTTTAAAAAAAACAACTTAAAAAAAGGGAAAAAGAAGAAAGAAACTTCTTGGAAAAAGAGTTTCAATTTCAAATAAAAAGAAGAAAAATTGAAAGGAAATTATGAATGAAAAAGACAGAATGTTGTGCAGTGTATGTCATTTGCTTTAGTTTTATAGTTAGCAAATTAGTAACATACGAATATGAAAAGATAGACAACGCATTAGAGTAATTATAATTGAATGACTTCAATTGTGACTATCTTCAATATTTAAGTGTTTTTTTTGGATTTTAAAATTGAAAAATGGTCAAAAAAATCACAAAATAAATAAATATTTTTCTAGCCCTTAGAGGCATGCCACATCAACGATTCTAGATTCAGATTTATATAGATATATAGATTTTTTATTCTTCTCAATTTCGATTTTAAGCTAAAGTTTATTGCTATGTTATTTATTTATTTGTTGCTTTTGAATAGGCTTAAGTCATCAACAACCACTTAAAATTATTCGCATGATTCACTTAAATACCTGAATTCAGACTTGTACCTATTGAACATCCTACCCTTCTAAATTCTAACTATTTGAGCATTTTTTGCTTACATGACATTTGAGTATGATTCACATATATTGAGCGCGATGAAACGTGAAAATATTTAATTAGACTTTTAAAAATAAAAATAAATATATATATATATATCTTTCTTCTTCTTTGTGGTTGCTGCCACTACTCCTCAACCAAACCACCAAGCAGCCGTTGTCATCGCCTCTGCTTGTTCGTTTTTGTTTTCTTCTAATCTAGAATCGATTAAAAAATTCTTTCTTTTTCTTTTTTTTCCTGAATCTTTGTCATATTGTTGATTTATGGAAGCCAAACAAAGTTACAAATTTGCAATTTAACTCTTACTTTGTGAGAATTATGATGAGGCAAAAGCAGAGGCGAATCCAGGATTTGAACTTTCTGGATGCCAAGTAGACACATTGCTTAGATCACTAAATCAACCTTAGATTTTGATTCCGCACAAAATCCAAAAGGCATAACTTTTTTAAAAATAATTTTACTAATATTATAAATATATATTATTCATTTATAATGGTTCTCGACGAGTTTACATATTTTGAAAACGGTCAATTAGAGCATCATTACTTATATTTGTAAATATATCACTTACTATGTAACAAACTAAACAAATCATTTGATTATTAATCACCACTCTTATTTCATATTTCATTTTTTATCTACTTCATGGAAGAAAATGATATTTCCACAGTTGCGATAGCTACAAGAAAAATATTTACTTAATTAATTTTAAAAAGATTAAGAAATAGAA